AAATAACAGTAAATCCAGTCCGCATTTATGACGATGTATCTCTGTAGTTGTTCGTAAAATAATTTTTTACTGCGAACTGGTTTAATTTGGGCAAAAAATTCAAGAGACATTTTTTTTTAGAATGAAACAGGCTATCGGAAATAATTTTTTAAATGGTAAAAAAATAATAAGACAAAAAATTACGTTGGAAATAAATTTTAGGGGTTGCGTTTTCCACCCCTTACAACCATGGGGTAAACCAAATAAATTACTGGCTAAGTGTCTTTTTGGTAGTAGAAAATGTCAGGTTAATTTCAATATTGTAACTTGTTTAGTGCTTGTGAAAAAAATTGTTAAACAAATTTTATGTACCCCCTTTAAGGGGCTGTATCTTAACAAGGGATGCTCCAATGAAGTTTCTTTATAAGAAAGATCCTATCTTTTTTTCGATGAGGAATCACCCTCTTAAATGTTTTACACTTATTTAGTTACACCCTGTATATGTAGATATATAAAATATCTGATATTCTTTCCATATTAGAGAACAGTAAACTTTTAAGAATTGAATACTTCTTGATTTTTCATTCAAGTTCTATCATTGCAATAAATGTTAAATGTGTTAATAGTCTACTACCTAGTATCTCGTTCTTACATATTCTCCAGATGAGTAATTAATGGCACATTATCAGTTACATTTACTTCCAATATTTGATCTGCAAACTGTACAGATGCTTCCAATGTTTCAATTCCCCGTTTTGTAGCACAAAGGACTAATGAAAGTCTCTCTAACAAGTCTATAATATCACCATCTATTTTGATATCTTCTGGTAATTTTTGTACATTAACTATTGATTGTAGAGATCCAACTGACTTTTCTATTATCCAAGTTTTCTGAGCAGACTTCTTAAAAAAATAAGAAAATGGTCTAAAAATCCCAAATAAATGTTTTACCTGATTCATGGTTAAGTAAAGTTTGAAGGTTATGTTATAGCATAAACCCATAGATTTAGTAGTATATGGATGGGGTCAGAGCCCACTTTTTGCGCATTTTAGCTGTTCCAACATGAACAGCGAAAGCGGCAGCGATATGCCCCAAGTCGCGCGCCATTATTCTATGGCTAGAAATTGGCCTCAATGATTTGGGATCGAGGGGGATTATCCCTCTTTATCCTGCCTCATCTCGTGTAGG